GACTTCTCTGTCATTCAGCTTTTATTATTCCTCTCACAATGAGTTTAACTCAATTGCAAGTTCGTTGAGGTCTGGAAGTACCTTATATTCGAAGTTMAGTTGTGATTACAAAACCAAGCTAAATCTAAAAAAATATCAGAGAATTTGCAACCCATGGTTAAATTCTTATTTTACGTAAATGCTTGTATTGTCATTTTGAGTACAACATATCTACAGTAAAATAAATGATTTTCTTTAAAAGTGTGCCATTCATTTACAGTTACCCATCGTTTTTTTTGTGTGTGTGAGTGTGTGTTAAACATGTCTTCTCGTCTCCCCTGACAGCTGATGATGGTCCAACAACACACACTGGCCCATTGCCCCGACCTAGCATTGACCAATCATGTTCCTTATGTCAYGGCCCTTAAGCCCTATTGGCTGCGCCCTCTCAACCACAACATAACCATCTGTGGGCGCTCATCACCTGGATAACGACCCAGGGCAGCAGAGCATGCWGAGAATGGAGTCAGCTGGCTCTGGATACGTGAGAATCCCATTGATGCATTTGTGTTTCCTGACAAAATAGCAGAGCTTTCATGTGAAACCAGCAGCTAAACACCTATAGGCATTAATATACAGTAGTTGCTYTTCTTACATCTAAACAGACCTCTGTGATCATAAAGCATTAGCTGGGAAACAAAGTCAGACCTACTTTGGTTTTTGCAGAACAGAAATGGGAACTTTTTAATCAATGCACCAGTTTAAGAAAATATATTGCAGCTTAAGTAAAATGCTTTATTTACTGAGCAAATGTAGGATTGACTAATACATAGAACCAAGGATAGAAATGTAAAAAGTTATCTTTAACCAGAGCTTATTCGACAAAGAACTGAGCCAAAATCATGTAAATACACACTTGTGACTTTTGTTGCATTTGCAGTTTTACCTGTTTCAGTTTTACAACTGCTGTCGAGTATTTGTAAATGTTGCTACCTTAGCTACATGAAAAAAATATTTACATGTATCACTCATAAAAAGGTTGTCATCGTGTGTGTGTGTGTGTGTGTGTGTGTGTGTGTGTGTGTGTGTGTGTGTGTGTGTG